AGGGTTTAGGGTTTAGGGCTAGAAACATGCACCAGGAAGTTCGGGCGTGGGGGCCCCACAAGATCCAGGCTCCGTCGTACGCTTCAAGCTTCTGCTGCTCTGGGCCAGTCTAGGACATTTTCAGGTGGGTACCGTTATAGGAGTCTTATAGAAGGTCTATATACCTTATAGAAGCCTTATAGAAGCCTTATATACCCTAAACTCCCCACCTGTAGTTTCCTTTACTCCAGGACGCGCAAACCTGAAGTGGCTTCCGGGTTCCTTTCTCTCCGGACGCTGGCGCCTCGAAGTTAGAAGCCTCGAGAATGAAGCCGATCCCCCTAAACCCCTAAACCCCTAAAACCCCTAAAAACCCCTAAAACCCCTAAACCCTAACCTCCTAATCCGAAAACCGGCATGGGCCGTAGCTTGGTCGCTGGCCAGCTCGAGGGTTTGCACTGGAACCGTTTTTGTTCCGAAGGCTTTTGCCGTTTCCCCAGACCAGACTTGGTTTAGGGTTTAGGGTTTAGGGGCCCCTAAATACCGCCTAAACTCATAAAACTTACATTCCCAATGCTCAGCCCTAAGCCCTAAGTGCACTCAAGGAGCGAGGCATTAAGCCGAATGCCCTTGGGCCAACATCACTGTTTCGGGGGGCGGCTTTGGGTTGGGAGGGCTGGCCCGCCTGCGGACTCGATCCTTTAAGTAATGCACGTCAAGACCTTATTCTAATTATGATGGCTCCTGCCACTGTCATCGTAGTATGGTACTGGAATGAGAGCCTTCATTCAATTCTTGGCCCAAGTCTCAAAGGAAAGGTAGCAGCACAAAGTGCTTGACTGAATACTGCTCACACCCACAGAGACAGCCTCTAAAGCTCCAGAGTCTTCAACCCTGGTGCAAGCTAAACCCTAAACCCTAAACCCTAAACCCTAAACCCTAAACCTTAAACCCTCAACCCTAAACCCTAAGCCCTAAACCCTTCGAGGCTACTGTGCTTAAAAACTTTTTTACACAAGCCTTCCAGCAAACCACCAGCTTTGGGCATGGCAACTGCATTGGTGACGGGCGGGAACCAGGGTATCGGCTTCCACACTACCAGGCGTCTCGGGTTTAGGGGTTTAGGGGGTTTGTTTAGGGTTTGGTTGTTTAGGGGTTTGGGGTTTGGGGGTTAAGGGGTTTAGGGATTTGGGGGGTTTAGGGATTTGGGGTTGGGGGTTTAAGGGATTTAGGGCTTAGGGTTGCGGGTTTAGGGCTAAGGGTTCAGGGGTTGAGGGGTTTAAGATTGACAAGCCTTGAGTTCAGAGTTTCGAGTTCTGAGAGTTTGGATGTTTACGCTCTCATGTTTGCGAGTCAGGGTTTAGGGGTTGAGGGTTTAGCGTTTAGGGGTTTAGGGGTTTAGTGTTTAGGGGTTTAGGTGTTTAGGTGTTCAGGGGTTCAGGGGTTTAGGGGTTTTGGGGTTTAGGGTTTTTGGTTTAGGGGTTTAGGGGTTTAGCGTTTAGCGAGTCAGGGTTGCTTCATCCACCAAACGTAACAAAGTACAATGCACCGCTTGGCGATGGCCTACTGGGAAGCAGAGTTCTCCGTTCTGCAAAGTGGGGCACTGTACGAACTCCATGGCCAGAGGCTCAGCTTGTAATGTAACGTAGGGGCCTAAATAATTCGCTACACTATTTTTGGGGGTTCCTCCTGATAATTATAGTATGATGGACCCCGAAACGCTATTCTAAATATTAAGGCCCCTATATTATTCGGAATCGGCCTAGGCGGATCAACAAGATCGCACAAAGCCTGAGAAAAGTTTTTTGGCTCTCAATCAGCTTCCACGACAGTACCATAATCAATCGTGGCATCTTACATGGCATCATTCTGCCAAGGATCATCGGCTGGACCTGTCCACAACCAATGAAAAGCACCGCAAAAAAACGACAAACAATCTCCACCACGGTGCGTGGATGTGCCGCAGACTCGGAACATGCGACATGAGAATGCAACACAAGTCATCCGGAAGTTCGAGATTCATGTTGATGTAATGCAGTCCCACAAGAGAAGGTCCCGATGCACCGCGAAACATGTCTGTTGTCGGGTTGTCGCCGAGAAGACGAATGCACGAATGGGAAAGTCACATTATATGCGCAATGCAAGCAGTTCAACCACCAATGCAGAGTACGTCATCTCTTGGCATCGCGGTATCACTCACATAGCTCCCCACAAGTGACCTGTAGGCCGCAACAACGTCACACCCGAATAAAGAACTTCATAACAAACAGCCTGGTCCAAGCTAAGACTTGACGCATCCCCGCCTGCAAGCAAGCAAATACACGTCTTGCACACCAAAGTCGGTGCTGTGCTGTCCGTGCCTGATGCAGCACGAAGCTGCATGTGTTGTTCGTAGATCGGTGGCCAGACGCTGCGGAGTCACGGACCTTTGCAGCTTGTGCGTTTCGGCGATGGGGCGAGGTCTTGGCCCCTACGTCCTAAGCGGTTTTTTCGAACCTTGCCGGGGTGATCGAAGAAAAGGTCACCTGTCTACGCAACGGGGCCCCAAAATCCCGAACCCAAACCAACGAAAAACAAAAGCACCAAACCTCCAAAACCCTAAAGCTAGAACATCCCTAAACGCGCAAAGCTCGAGTGTGCCCGAAGGGCGTAAGTCTGGAACTTTCAACTCCAAAAAGCCTTCAGGTTCGGAAAGTTTCGGGTGTCGGCTGAGCCGAACGTCTGGTATTAAGTTGTTGGGGATGTTGAGGGCTTGGGTGGGGGTTTAGTGTTTGGGGTTAGGCCGGAGCCCCAAAGCCTCGACCGTAGAGTCCCCTAAGTCCAAACCCCATGCACCCGAAAGGGCTTTGGCATAGAATGGACTGCTGAACATGTAACCTCAAAGATGATCACGTGCTGACTTCAGCATTTAGGCTTTTCTTTTCGGCTTCAGGCTCAGGAGTCAGGGCCGAACGCGGTTAAGAGTTGCAGCAGGCAGGGGACACTAACGTCGAACCCCAAATACGAAGACCCTCATTACGACGAAGAGCCCTCCACAAGGTACCTCGGTACCTCTAAATTTAAAAAACACCATTGACAAAAGTTTCTAAAACCTTCTACCAGCTTCAGAAACCCAACACGAACCTTTAAAAGCCTTCATAAGAAACCGCTATTGTAGGGTTCAAGGCTTTAGGTTGTTAGTGCTCCTGTGCAGGAGGCTGATCGCTTCCCAGAAGTACAGCCGCGCCCCGGACTTTTTCCGGTTCTAGGATTTGAGTGGCTTAGGGTTTTGAAGATTTTGGGGCTTAGGGCATTAGGATGTAGGGTTCAGGGCTTATAGTTTTTAGATATGAAGGTCCAGCATGTCGGATCTATGTGTGTCAGGTTGTGGAGTGTCAGCGTTCAGGGTTTAAGGGGGCTTGTCTGAAGTGGGAGTAGGGCCGTACCTCGACAAGTCGAGTTGTCAGGCTGAGTCACACCACTATATGCCCCAAATCCCTAAACCCTAAACCCTAAACCTGTCTCCGATGGGATAGAGTTTGAAGGAGGTAGGTCTTCGTCGTCCTCTTCTGAGCCTGGTAAAAGTGATGTAGAAAGGCTTGAACGATCTCGCAGTCGCGATATTTGAAGTCCTCGTGTGCATCCAGTGTATAAGTGGACTCAGTGTATGCCTGCACCGGGCGGGCTCCTGACTGCAATTGCGGGAGAAAAGGGTCACTGCACTTAAAAACAGCCTAACCCGAAGCCTGACTGAATCTTCGCTTGTCCGTTTATCCTTAATGCGTATTCATTAATGTTTCTGGGAGGGGGGGGATCCCACACCCTCAACCCGAAATCCTAAACCCTAGCCTCGGCTCCAATAGACGAAATAATTACCAATGATATTTTGGGGCTTCCCTATTATAACTATAGTATAATATACACCGAAACCCTATTCTAACTATTAAGACCCCTATGTTAGAGTCCAATACTCTCCCGAATCCTAAGCTCTGAAACCGCCAAAAGCTGCCCTCCACTCAGAACCCTAAACCCTAAACCCCTAAACCCTAAACCCTAAACCCTAAACCCCTTAAGCCCTAAACCCTAACTATTCAGGTGTTCTCATCGCTTGCCGAAGGGAAGCGCCGGGTCGGGATGCTGCCAAGGAGCTTGTGTGGGTCTTAGGGTTTCGGGTGTAGGGTTTTGGGGGTTTAGGGTTGTAAGGCTCGGAGCTTTGGGGGCTTTAGGGTTCGGGGTTTAGGGTTTAGGGTGTAGGGTCTACTGAGTTTTCTGAGGTTCTGGGGGTGTTTTGGGGTTTAGGTTGTTGAAGAAGGGGTTTGCTTGTGGTTCCTTTGAGAATCTCTTTAGAGACGATCTTTCAGGAGAACTCCCATACGACCCAGGACTCGAAGCCAAAAACTGTGCATAAATCCATAGCCGTAAACTCTAAGCCCTAAACATGTTCGTGTCCTGCATCGTGACGGGATCTAATGAGCTTTGTAGGGTTTGGGCCCTGCAGTCAGGCATGGTAGTTTCGTGAAGCTTCTTCGTACATGTTCTGAGCGCGGCAATTTTTGGCTTGGCATGATGACAATAATAGCGTCGAGAAGGGGGTTTAGGGTTTAGGGTTTAGGGTTTAGGGTTGGTGTAGCTTCAGCTTCGCGGGTAGTCTACTCATGACCGCCTTTGTCGTCACTGTATGAGAATTTGTTTCTTAAAGTGTGCACGGGACAAGATGGGACTAATTACACCTCGTGGCCAAGCACCGGCTGAACATATTCTGCCGAGTTTTGTTGGGTTTAGGGTTTAGGGTTTAGGGTCAAGCCAGGCGCGGACTCTCTTGTCATTCTTGCTTGCCAGCTGTATCTACTGGTCCAAACACTAGGTCAGACAGTCTGACTTTGGGAGGGCGAGGGTTAGGGGCGTGGTTTATTTATATTTAGGAAAATGCCCAAAGCCCACACCCGAAACCCAAGAAGCTTGGAATGGCAGGAGCTGGGCTGCGACTTCGTGCATCTGGACGTCAGCGATGGCAGCAGCGTCTCCTCGCTACCGGACCGGCTGAAGATCCCAGCAAGATTATTAGTAATGAGGGTTTGCGGTTTTGGCTGAAGGGGAAGCAATAATCATGGAATAGTGCCAGTACTAGTGATGAGCGAAGTACTATATCAACACCAGCAATCCCAAACAAGAGTCCACCCCTCCCAGTTCAGGCGAGAGTTCTTGGGATTGAAACAGAAACGATTGAAGACGCCCAATGTATCCTGCACGCTTGACGGGTCTAGTCCCTGAAAGATTATACCATCGTTTACCCCAAACCCCCTTTCCAGTATTTTGGCCGCTACATTAAGAAAGCATTGCGCAGCCCACACCAACCTTATAAGCAAGCCTACGCCAAGGACACTGGGAGTTTCGAAGCTGAGTTTGCTCGTCAACAATGCCGGCGTCATGTACGATGCTGGGATTCTCTAAGCCCTAACCCCTAAGCCCTAATCCCTTTCTACCCTTACGGTTTTGTTATTTCCCTCAACAAGTCGAAGGCTTGGGTTCGTGGTCAAGTGTTCTGAGTAGAGTGTAGGGCCAATTACGGTTGAGGCTTTAGGGTTTGCGGTGGATGCCTTAGGATGTAGGGCTCGATTTTTGATCGTAGGGGTTTGGGGTTTCCTGTTCTTGTTTAACTGTTCAACTGTAGCTACAGTTTTGATCTCATTCTGACCTTGTCTGTTAATCGCTACCAATCATGACGACAGAGTCGAAGACCAGACGAATAACCCTCACTTTCAGGACCAGCCTCCCCAGAGAGTTCGATAGCCCCCTCATCAATCAAGGAATCTGTCGAACACATACATAGTATGCTTCCCCCAGCCCTGAAACTCTCAACCCTCTGATGTCTGATCTGAAGTTTGCTTCCAAATTCCGTACTAGGGGTGGTTTGCTCTAGGCTCCGGAGTCAAAGTGTCTGAGTTAATCTCTACGGCCCAAGTCCACTCTCAGCCTCTGAACCCCAAACCCGAAAGGGCGAAGATTCAGAGTTTAAGGCATAAGGCTTAAGATTCAGGGCTTCGGGTTCAAAGGCTGCAACACCCACAGCCCCAATATTGCGAGGTGTGCGGACAAGAAGAACTGTTTTGTTCTGTATACCTTGTAAAGTTCATTGAAACGCTGTTTAAGAGAAAGCTCTCTTGAACCTTTGTTTATTTGTTTATCTAGTTGGTTTGTTTGGTTTAGGGTTTAGGGTTTAGGGTTTAGGGTTTAGGGTTTAGGGTTTAGGGTTTAGGGTTTAGGGAAAGCGGAATTAACGACACCGAGCGCCAAGCGAGGATGGTTGGAGCCGGGAGAACTGGGAGAATCATTGGACGACGAACGTTGTGGGGCAGGTTGGGTTGAAAGGGTTCCATGGGTCTCAAACCTTGTTGGTAGTGTTTTGTAATTAGTGTATTTTGTATGGTTTTAAATGGGAGACACACTATACGCCCTGAACTCGGCTACTGTTTGGCGCCTGCAGCCAGGTGGAGCTGGTCAACAAATTGAAGTCCCATCTGGACACGCGGGCTTCCATCGTGAACGTCTCCTCTGGCTGGGGCTGTAAATCTGAGCTGAGCAATCCGGCCATTGCAGACAAGGCCTGTCGGACTTGTATCACTTACGCAACGAACTATAGGACCACAACCCTAAACCCTAAACCCGAAACCCCACCATCAGCCCTAACAATACTCTCTGAAGCCTAGAGTTCCTTCAGCTGCAAGCCAGGAAAGTTCGAGAAACGTAGGATGTTTACTTGGGCCTGAAGAGTAGGACCTCTTTCATTTGGGATGATCAATGGGGCAAGAAGGCCCTCTTGAGCTTGACTGTTGTGAAGTGGCTTAGGAGGTGCAGCATAGGTGCGGTGATCTGGAAATACCCCTACTCTTGATGTCATTTTGCTTCTTCCGTGAGACTGAAACTTGCATGATGTGAGTTTTGATTTGACATTGCTTCTTTTGGCGGCTGATCTGTGCGGAAGACACAGTCGGGTGGGGAGCTTGGCTGGGGCATGTATTTGGGCTTCAAATACATGGTGGGAGCAAAATTTGACAGCCCAGAAGGCAAGATGCTCGTACCTGGACAGGAAACCAAGGCAGTCACATATATCATGAATGACGCAGTAGATGAGTAAATATGCAAACTGGCTCCATCTCCCTCTCTCACATTCACACATCTCTCAGTTTCTCTTTCTCGCTATAGCAATGTAGGTGTACATGTACATAATGTCGTCAGGTTAGAGCAAACAGCCGCAGCCGGATGTTTTTTTTGAAATTCCAAGCTTCCGCAGTGGGCCGTGTCAAACCCATAGCTCGAAGACCTCGTGGGTTTCTCGCAGACCGAACCCTAAACCCCAAGCCCTAAACCCTAAATCCTGAACCCCAAGCCCTAAACCCCAAACCCTAAACCCCAGACCCTAGACCCTAAACCGAAACCCCAAACCCTAAACAAAGCCCTAAAACACTTACAGCCAAGGTGTGGGCTTGCGGCTCCATCGATGAGCTCCTTGACTTCGGGGCGACCAAGGTCGGGGTTTCCAAACACTCCTGGTTGCGATGATTTCAGGATTTAGTGACTGGGTTTCGGGTGTTGGGCCGAGAGTTGCACCCCAACCCCAAAAGTTGTAAACCTCAGAATAAACAAAGCCTTTCGGGTTTCATGGTTCAGGGTTTGGGGGTCGCAAGGCCCACCTGTTCAGTTGCAGGTCTTCACACAGTGCGAGCACTCGGGGTACATGGAGTACTACAAGATCTCCAAGTGCTTCATGAATCGGTGGACGAAGCTCCTACATGAGAAGGATTGTTGGACTTGTTAGTAAGCCTGAACAAGTACAAATTCTATTCCTTCGGGTTCTCAATAGACATGATCTGGTGAAATGCCCTCCAAGCCCTATTCTAATTATTGAGGTACCCATTTATGATGTGTTCTTTTACATGCTTCTGTTTCTTTGCCAGGGCCAGCTTCGAGGCTTATGGGCTTTAGGGGCGTTGGCTTGCCTTTTCAGGGTTTCCCAAACCTGGAGCCCTCGGTGGGGCACGATGCATCCTTCTACAATGTAGGGGCCTAAATAATTACGAATACTATTTTTGGAGGTTCCTTCTTATAACTTTAGTATAATATACACCCAAACCGTATTCTAATGATTAAGGCCCCTACATTAGGTCTTGTCCCCGCTTCTCACCCTACGGGTGACTGAACAAGGCTTTACGTTGCCAATTGTGCTGAAGCCTTGGACATTGGAAATTGAAGCCTGTGGCCGAAGCTTCAACGCCGTACATAGCACCTTTTCGGCCAGCATTTCGAATCCCGAAACATCCGAACTTACAACACCTAAACCCTAAACCCTAAACCCTAAACCCCTTCTAAATGTCATTGAGCCCTGAAGCCGATACCATCCTAATATGGAAGCCTAGCTATTTACCAACATGATTCCTTATCGTTCCTGATTAATTATAAGTAGAGTATCACGGGCCCCACACCCCTATTCTAATTATCAAGGCCCCTAGATTATACCTCAAATTCCCAGGTCCCTAAACTCACAATCCGCTCTAACCTCCAAGCCCAATGAGCCCCAGTCCCGAACATGGAGCTTGCTTACCCTAAACCCTGAACCCTCAACCCCAAAACCCCAAACCCCAAAACCCTAAACCCCAAACCCTAAACCCTGCTACTGCTTGCTCGTGGGCGCGGCCTAAACCCTAAACCCTAAACCCTAAAAGGACGCAGAACTCAACGCTCTGGGCACCAGCATCTTCGCGGTGTGTCCAGGTTGGTGCCACACGAGTATCTCGGTTTTAGGGTTTAGGGTTTAGGGCTTAGGGTTTAGGGTTTGGGGTTTAGGGTTTAGGGCTTAGGGTTTAGGGGACTGTAGCCTATAGTGATAAAGAAATGATACTAATGATACTAACCAAACGAACAATGTTACCAAAACCAACAATAATCCCAATAATGCTAGCGCATCTAGACTTTCTGAAGCCCTCACACACAGTGGTAGCTTGGNNCCAAGCTACCACTGTGTGTGAGGGCTGCAGAAAGTCTAGATGCGCCAGCATTATTGGGATTATTGTTGGTTTTAGTTAAAACCTTAAACCCCGAACCCTGAACCCTAAACCCTGAACCCTGAACCCCAAAGCCTGAACCGTCAGGAACCCTTGCGGAACCCGTAGAGGATCCAATACAGGAGCCCTCAAAAGGAGCGCCGGAAGGAAACCTAACAGGATCCTCTAGGGGTTCTTAAAGGAATCTTTAGGGTTTAGGGTTTAGGATTTAGGATTTAGGGTTTAGGGTTGAGGGTTTAGGGTTTGGGTTTGGGGTTTAGGGTTAAACCCTAAACCCTAAACCCTAAACCCTAAGGCAACTCTCAAAGGCATGGGCGACAGAGCCGGTGGCATCTCGTCGCGCTCGGCGGACGCAGGCGCCGAGAGCGTGATGGCGGCCGCTCTGGGCCAGGCTGGAAGCCCGGTTCAGGAGCGGTTTAGGGTTTGGGGTTTTAGGGTTTAGGATTTAGGGTTTAGGGTTTAGGGTTTCGGGTTTGGAGTTTGGGGTTTGGGGTTTAGGGTTTAGGGTTTGGGGTTTAGGGTTGAGGGTTGAGGGTTTAGGGTTTAGGGTTTAGGGCTCAGGGTTCAGGAGCGGGGGGGTGGTGCGTAAGAGACCCAAGCCAAGCATTCTGTGAAGGGACCTCCATGCTTTTCATGGTTGGTGCGGTTTCGCAAAGGTTGTCAGTATGTCTTTCTGTCATGAGGGACTACAGAGGTCTGCGTGAGCTGCAGTCAGCGTACGTTCTGCACTAAGTTTTACGGTTCAGGGTTGACCTAGACCCCAAAGAACCTACCTTTTAGGCATTTCATAGCAGAGACGTGGGACTACTCGAAAGCTGGTCTGTTCTCGAACAGACTGCAGGGGAAACCCAAACCTATTGAAATTATGAATAAAAGCCCCTAAACCCTAAAGCCTAAGCCCTTAACCCTAACCTAGACCCTAAACGCTAAACCCTAAACCCTAAACCCTAAACCCCTAAACCCTAAACCCTAAAGCCTAAGCGTGTTCCACCGGGGCTTCGGATAAGCTGCAGGGTTCGGCAGAGCCCCTGCAGAGAGAAGAAAGGAGCTGGTGGTTAGGTCTGAAGAATTAGGGTTTAGGGTTTTAGGGTTTAGGGTTTAGGGTTTAGGGTTGAGGGGTTAGAGTCTAAGGTTTTAGGGTTTAGGGTTCAGGGTCTAGGGTTTAGGGTTCAGGGTTTAGGGCTTAGGGTTCAGGGTTCAGGGTTTAGGGTTTGGGGGTTTCGATTTCCTTAGACCATGAACCCTCAGCCCTAAGCACCCTGAGCGCCAGCCCGGAGCTCCATGGGGCTTCTGGACGCTTGACTCGGGCAGGCGGAAAAGCCCTAAACCCCTCAACCCCTAAACCCCTAAACCCCTAAACCCCTCAACCCCTAAACCCTAAGCCTTCATATGTACACCCCAAGCCGTAGCCGACCGAACACAGGGGTCGAAATGACTACCAAGAGTCTTCCTTAGGGTTATTTCATATACTCCTACGAGAATATTCCCCAAATTCCTATCCTAATGGTTAAGGTCCTTATACCACCGAGCCCTTATGTTGACCTTTCTGGTAACCCTTATAGTAACTCGTAAAGAACACTTCAAAGAAGCCTTAAAAGGGAGCCCCTATCTATTCTAAGTAAGCCCTAAACCCGACACCATGGACCGTATTTTAGCTCATTGAAGCCACAAGCTTTGGCCGAAACTCTCGGGGACGCCTCAAGGTGCCTGCTGGCAGCTTCACGCGGGATGGGGAGCAGATCGGTGGCAAAGATATTTGGTAAGATATTTTGGGTGTAGGGCTTTGGGCTTAAATCCTAAACTCTAAACCCTAGACCCTGAAGCCCAAAGCACTGAAACATTTTTGGCCCTACGCCCTGAACATCCTGGGCCATGGTTGAGTGGACGGGACGCCGTCGCCTTTCAGCGCGAAAAGTCTGCATGTCTGATCCGATACGAGTCGTGAGACTAGGGTGGCTCGTGTGGGCTTGGGGTCGTTGCTCGTTCCCCAAAGATAGAGCGGGTGTTTGAGCAGTGGCTCAGGTCAGTTTTAGTGTGCTTGGAGGCTGTTCCGCGCATGATTTGATGTGCAATTTGTAGGCTGTCCTCGTATACCGACGGTTTCAGGCCCCCCTATGTTTTATCTCGGGGTTTAGGGCTTAAGGCACAGGTCTTCAACATCTGGTTTTATGGTTAGTATAATATATTAAATCATACTGTATTGTTAAATGTTATATTGTGTTATATTATAGTTATATTATAACATTTTAGGTGATATTCTACTATTATATACTGTATTACTATATTACACTATATTATATGCGTAGACGCCTCGCGCAAAATCCCAAAGGCTCTCCGTCGAGAATTATATGGTAGTATTCTAGGAAATTGACTACTCCGCCACGCTGGCCACGTAAAACGGACCTGCGGCCACTCCACTTCTCGACGGCACATGTTCGTGGTGTATTGAAAATACCATCCATATATCAAAACTCTCGTCAAGGTGATGTACTATATTGCATTATACTATATGATTCTATATTATATAACATTACATTACACTACATAATACTATATTCTATCATACCATATATTATATGTAATATTATATATAACATATTACATAACATATATTATACATTACAATACATATATATATATATATATAT